AACCCTTATTTAAAGGTCATTGCAGATTTCTATGAAACAGTACCAATCTTATGTTGGGTTATACATGTATATTTTTCCATATATGTATGTGTATGTGTATATAAAAGACAGGGAAGAAGTAATATAAAGTCAACAGAAAATGGAAATATACTTTTTAAAGTTTCTAATACTAGGAGAAGATATCATACAATGAGACATAATTTTTAATGACATCTTACATCCCAAATTAATATTTCATCTCATACTTTCCTTTATATAGTTCCAACAAGAAAAGAAAGCCTTCATCTGCACAATGTGACAAAAGGTAGGTTTCAGCTTCATGTTCAAGTGTATGCTGATATTCAAATGCCTGAATCGTGTCAGATTTCACACTGTGAATGTAAACACTGGTCTCATTTTAAAGCAAGGAAGTCCAGTAAGTACACACTTCTGGTACTAGCAAGAGAGACGCATACAAAGTCTAGCAGAACATTTTCAATGAAAAATTAAGAAACGTAAAGACACCAGAACTATGGAGAACATAAACAGATACTTCAATGTGCATAAAAGCCTCTCCTTTCTAAAATATTTTCGTAGCATTAATAATGAAAACATGATACACCTCTAGTATTTTAAATGTATAAATAGGATTTATTTTACGAGTAAAAAATATAATTAATGTCATGTATATGTTTTTATTATTTATAAGATGATACTTTAAATATATTTAACTTACAAATTTGGACAATGCCAGTCTGGAATTAGAAGACAGATACGCTTTTCCTACAAAGAAATGATCTATTTTGGTGATGTCATCATAAAACTGACAGAATTACATAATCTGAGTAACATAATTTTGGTATATTGAATTGAATAAAAACATGATTTAAATTCTATGATAGTAGATAGACATACCACAGCCAAGCCAATCATCCTCACTCATGGTGAATACCTAAACTCTCCCCGTGGGGAGAAGAAGCCCTTTTGCACCCATGCTGTGGTGTGGGTACCTGACAGGCAGGGTGTGTCTAGCCACATAACCCAGCCTACGATTACTAGCAACTTGGCATAAGCTCAGTAATATACAAGCATAAAATGAACAACAAGGAGACATTCACACTGAAGGAATGATATAAGGGAAATTTCATGCTGGAACATTTTTCAAGATGTTTAATAAATTGAGAAAATAAGAATGAAAAGAAACAGATTACCTAGAAAATGCACAGCTATATCCATCCTTGTGATTATTTTATTCAGTCCTTACTGTACTCCAATCATCATGCCTTGACAAAAGACAAGTGAAATGGACGGGAGAGAGACATCCCACAGACCTGCCACAGCAGGGCCTGGCTACGGCTTCAAGGCCAAGTCCCTGGACCGCAAACACTGCTCAGGGCTCAACCTGTGCAGTCGCGCTTCATTACCCTGTAGCAGCGTCACCGTCAGATTTCCACCAATCAGAGCGGCCTGAGGATGAAGTGTACCTATTTTGCCCCAAGGAAAGGCTCTATTCTGGCTCTGCTTGGAAGTTTCCCTACTTGCTCAGTTTAGAAGGGATTCTGTACATTCTTCTGGGATTCTGTCATTTTTGAGATTCTCGTATTTTGCATAGACAATGGAGAAAGTTTGATACATAAGAAAATGCAAGCCTGACACAGAAACTATTTCCTTTATTCAACAGTAATTTCTTGATTCTCAATATTTATTTTATTCCTAAATCCCTGTTTTACTAACCAATGCTAGTGTTTTTAAAGAAAAAATAATAACATGTTTGAGTGAAGTATTTTGCCAAGTTATTTTTTGAGGAATTGTGTGTGCAAAACATGCTGCCATGTTAACACTAAAACCACAAGCAACCTGATTGAAAATGTTTTCTTAAAATGTTTTCTACTGGCATAAGTTAATTTTTTAAATGTGTAATACTTAGGTTACATGAGAAATTGTACAAACAGCAAAGTAAATAATGCAATGAAGATCCTTCAAAAATTATATTTTGTAGCTTGGCTCCTAACATTTAACAAATGTTGATAGAATAGATAAGGTACTGATCTTTTTCAAAGAAGGTATGATGTTTACAATAGTATTTAGGATAATCATCTTAATCTATATCTTTCATACTACATACATATGTTGGATGAAAGTGTATTACTTAAGCATATAATAAGAAATTCAAAAGATATCCTATACTTACATAGAACCTATTGATAAATACTATCTTTTTTTGGCATTTACTTTAATTAAAATGTATTTTCTTTTTTAGCAGAAAAACCTGAAAAAGTATCAAGTAAGTACAGTGCATGTCCACAAGTGCTCTTCGCTATACATATCAATTGCAAGCTTAAATCTATACATATTTTTGTTTTCAATGTTTTCAAAGATTGAGTTATTTCATCCAAAGCCCCTAGCAGGCATTTGCTAGCTTTGATTCTTACTCATGTTGCAACGTCTAAAAACCACTTGGGTCACTCAATTATAATTCATCATTGAAATTTCCTGTTCTTAAGCCTGAAAGAGACATCATTTTCATTCAAATAGACAAATCTTTTCAGTGAATGAAGCAAAATAATCTTTATCTGCTTTCAACTCAGAATCACTAAAAACTCAGTGCAGAGTCCACGCGGTAGAACAATGGGTCTTCATTTGCTTCTGTGAGTTAATGTTTGCTACTTAAATATAATTTCAGGCCTAAGAAGCATTTTGGATTTCAGAATGGGCGAAATGTAATAGAGTATGAACAGAAAGCCTCCTAGCCCAGAAACACTCTAAAATGTTCACAACATTCAAGTAGGATAGAAATTCACTTTTTAGGATATAAATATAATTTTTTATGTTTTTCAGATTAATTAGCAATCCATTATTCTGCAGCAGTGCTCATCAAAGCAAATAGCATGTTAGCCATTTTGTAATTTCAAATTTCTGGAAGACACATTAAGTAAAAAGAATCAGGCAATGATTATTTTAATAATAGTTTATCTAACTCATATGCAAACTTCAGCTCAATATGAAAATATAGAAACGTGTTGACGCTTTGCTATTTCCGCATTGTTTTGAAGTGGTGTGTGTAGCCTACACTCATGGTGCCCTGGACCTGTCTTGCCTCATGTCAGTGTTCCTGGCTACTGTATTGGACTGGAGCAGAGCTTAGGACTTACTGAGTGCTATACCCAAGACTTAAAGGACTAAAGAAAGTAAAAGAGCATCATTAAAACACAATAACCACCACACACCTACCAGTCACATTCTTTGTAAGGAACAGGACCCGATGGCCTTCAGTAATTTTGAAAAGTATTAGAAGGATACTGAATGTTCATCTCACTGAGGTGAGCAGCAAAGTTCGTAGCCAATCCTCTGGAAGGCCTCGAGAAAGCCCCCCACACTCCGCATTCTACCTACAGCTAAAGGTAGCAAGAGCAAGCCTCCCGGAGAAGGGAAGGCTTTGAACTGCGGCTAGGATTTGGGTGGACAGAACAAAATGGGTAACCAAGAAAACATAGTATATGCAGCCAAGAAAGGTGGAGCTGGACTTGGAGAAGGGAAGAGGAAAACACTGTGAGGGAAGCAGTGAGGGCCCACGCAGGCCAAGGCGCTTCCCTGCTGCCGTCCCAGAAAGCTTCCCTTTGCTTTATGTTAGGGAGCAATAGCTGAAGGGGCAGGGGACATAATAGTCGCCGTTGTCATAGGAGTAGTACTGATGCCATGTGTAGTAGGAATAATAAACCCAAAGAGGATATGAGGAATAAAAGTATTATCACTTTCCAAGGCGTATAGTGGAATGCATTCCCAGAGATATTAGGGAATGTGGCAGTTCGTAAATTGGTTTTCCGGGCATATCTTTTGTTTAGCACATACTAGCTTTTATCATCTTTTGAGGAACAATCATCAAGAATTGCCACATGCGTTTATAAAGCACGAAATGCTCAGTGTTATTTATACTAAGCATTAATCTTTCTGTGCTGCACAATGCGCTGGCATTTTGAGTTAGTATTGGTGGTGAAGATTTTTGTGCATGAAAGACCTCTTCACCTAAAGGAGGATTAGTGACATAGTGACACGAAGAGGCCATTGCTTTCTTTTTCCCTGCATTGGTAGTTTCCACGTCAGTGCCTACCTCTGATTGCTTCCAGGACCTGATCCTTTTGCCAGAATGACTCCAACCTTCCTCCTTTTTTTTTTTTTTTTTTTTTTTTTTTCACTTAGGGCAGGGTCTACAGGGTCTTACTGCATAGATTGGACTTATAGTGATCCTCCTTTTTACAGCCTCCCAAGTGCTGCGATTACAGGCGCGCACCACCATTCCCAGTCTACACCTTCCTACTTTGACACAGGGTGCAGAGAGGGACCTTCACACCCAGATTCTGGGGGTCACAGTGGAAAGGAAGCCCATGGCTGGCTGATACCGGTGGGAGCGGGGGTCTCTCCATTGACCCTCATGCTTCTGCCTGGTGGGGCTGCTGGCAGGCGCCCACTGGAACAGATTCCCAAGGGTCTGAGGTGCTACTGCAGGGAGTAAAGGAATGCAAACCGAAAGAACAACACCCAGACATCTCTTGGTTACATCAGCAATGGTGTACGTGTGGAATCAGGCTTCCCGGTTAACAGGACATTCTGGTTCATTCGACACTTGCTGGGGTTGGCTTATTTTTACTAGGTTGTAAGTTCCTACTATGTAAACATGATCTTATTTTCATTCTGTATTTTCTGTGAATGTGGTAAATATATAATAAATGATTTACATTTTATGGAGTCACAAGGGAGCCATTAGGAACAGGTGTGAGTTATATTGCACTACATTTAATGTCAGTAACTTTAAAAATAAAAATAAACACAGATTGAAATTTAAATAATTTTGCCACACCTTCCTGACACTAATGTTTTAAATTTTGGAAACTTTTGGTCTGGGGAAAAGCCATAGAGCATGCAAACTCTATCATATTGTTCCTCTAGACTGTCGCAAGGTAAAACATGAAATAAATGGAAGGAATGGAAAAATACATTAGTAAAAGATGAAGAGTGCTGAAGGGAAGGTTTTAGATGTGTCCCAAGACCCCAAACTGAAATATATGACAGTAACATGGTTGGGGTATTTCAGACAGACTCATGACCCTCAGAATCTGAGAACACAACCTGAACTTGTTCCACTTAGTTCACTAACTTTTGTGTATTTTCTTAAAACGCTTTTTAAGATTAATAGTGATTTACCATTTGCACATAATGGAAATCAGGCCTGCACATAAGTATGGGGCCAGTACTAGTGAAAACTCGAACTAGTGAGTTTAACTTTGATATGGCTATACTGCTCAAATTTAGTCCTTTCTGGAGAGTAACTGCATTTGAATGAAGCTTCAGCCAATCCTAATAAAAACTATATATATACTATAGCCCTATCAGGTGTGGTGATGTACACCTACAGCCACAGCATTTGGGAGGCATAGGAAGGAGAATGCCACCCATTCAAGCTGAGCCTGGACTGTAGAATGTTGTTGTATTTTTGCCTCAAAAACAAACAACAACAACAAAAAAAAAACAGTAAAAATATTTAAAAACAGCATAGCCTTTGTGTCTTTTTTTTTTTTTTTTGGCTTTTAAAAGAGCTTTGTTGGTTCTTTATAGTCTCATGTTTGGGTCTGCATTTTGCTTTTGCAAAAATGTGGTGCACAAGTATGTGATTTGCTTCAATATTAGAGGATGACAATATTACAGAAGCAAACTAACTTGGAAACTGTTCTAAAATTTTAGACAAGATTAAGGTAAAATTAAAGTTTTTGTAGATTTAAAAGTTCCTTTTTGGAATTTATGTTTGGTCCATTACCCTGACAAGCAAACTGTGTAATGGGTATTTAAGAAAAATTTCATTGAAAAGAACATTATTAACCAGAACTGAAGCATACTACTTGTCATTAATAAAAGCATAAACTATTGTTGATTTATTGTACATTCTTGCACAAAATTTTTCAGTAACTTCAGAAGCTAAAATTTCCTAGTAGGTATACATTTTTCACATTAAATTAATATTTGCCTGTTTCAAATAATAATGCTATATTAATGAGCTGATGAATTGCAAAATGTAACTGACCAACCAAAAGAGATATTTGTCTTAAATTCTTAAACACCAAAACAATATAGCTTATTCTATATTGATACTATCTTTACTCTGACTTGTCGACCAATTAATGATCTTCTCTAACGTGATCAAACCCAAACAAAAGGTCACCTAAGGGGTGGTGAGATAGCTCAACAGACTAAGTGCCTGCCTAGGCAAACAGAGATCGAGGTTTGATCCCCAGCAGCACCACATGCCGCACTGGCCGGGACTGGGTGTGGTGGTGCATGCCTGTAATCCCAGCACCTGCGAGGCTGAAAATGAGGATCACTATGAGTCCGAACTGCATAGTGAGATCCTGTACCAAACACATAAAAATAAGTCTCAGAAAAACTCACCTAGGAGGTAATCACCTCTAAAATTAATTTGTGTTATCTCAGACTAATGAAGCTGCTGACAAAAAACGGTGTGCAATTAATGCTGATAAATCAACACCTCAGCTGTTAAATAACTGAATCAGTTCTGTCACTGCACAGCATATGCCAGTCACATCGCAAGCGCTGGGAAAGTGCAGTAGCCAGTTGAGATGCAGTTGCAAAACAAGCCTTGAATGCATTTGACCAGTGTTATTTCTGTTCTTTTTTTTTTTTAATTTTATTGAGAAACAGTGATCAGACAGTTTCAAAACCTATTAGTAGGACAGTTTCAATAATTAATACATTGCATATTGTTGTCTTCATAGTGGTTTTTCATAGTACAAGATGCAGACATGATATCCTGTCCAAA